GCTTCCTAACAACCACCTGGAAGACCTGGTTGACCCCAAAACTGCCCCCATCAGATAAACAGCACTTAAAGCTTTCATCTTTGAGAGAGAGGAGAAAATCAAGCTGCTTCAGATCTGAAAACATCCACAGGTGTTTCTGTCCATCCTTCCACTGCGAGAAGACGACTCAGCGCTGTGGGTCTGAAAGGATGTGTAGCTTTCAAGAAGAACCTCACTGAGAAAAGGAGACGGACACATCAAACAAAGAAAGAAGCTGAACGATGGACTGACCACCCCAGAGTCCGGACCTCAACACCACTGAATGTGTTTGATCACTTCAGAAAATCATCAACCAGCTTCTAAGACTGAACTTTGGAGGTGTGTCTGCAGATTCTTTGAGGAGCTGAAAGTGAGTCTCAGTCAGTCTCTTGTCTTTTGCCTTAGAGACCAGCAGCATGAGAGATATCACAATCTTAATTGTGATATCTCGATCCTAATGGTTTACCAGGTGACCGATGGCTGATCTAGAAATTCGTGATAGTCTGTAATGTGTTTCGGGATGAAAGCCTTCATGTAGAAACTGTACATCCAGTATCAAAAAATGTAAATAAAAATAAAAAGTAAATGATTTTATGCATAAAACGAACAGCTGTTCTGTTTTTGTGGTGGTGATGTTTTGTGGGCAGTGCAGAGACAGAGAATTGGCGTAGTTGTGGGCAGTTTCATTTTACACTGACATGAATAAAATTGGACGTTTTAACAATAAAAAATAATTAGTTGCCACTTGAATGATTGGTGAGGGGAAAAACTCTAGTCTATGAGATTTATAACATATACCTTGAAGGACTGTATGAAAATGTAAGGAGCTTAAGTACGGTGACTGAGGTGCCCCGGGCGCCGTGGATAGGGCTGCCCACCGCTCCAAGCAAGTATGTTCACTGCCCCCTAGTGTGTGTGTTCACTAGCATGTATGTGGTGTTTCACTGCATGGATGGGTTAGAATGTGGAGATGAAATTTCCCTGTTGTGGGACTAATAAGGGTCACTCAATCACTAACAAGTCACAAACTGTCCCGTCCAGTCACTGAGGAACAGAAATGACCACACAGAGCACACTAAAACCATTTACAGATACATTCTATATTTCCCCCAAAGTATAATCACAATAACCTTCACACACGCAGTCTGAAGGTCCTTTAAGATGAAGAGCTCGTCTCGAATTCTGTGTGCCTTTATGAATTATGCATCATGGTCATCTGCAGTTTGATATGCAGGAGGTACTTTAATCTTCAGATGGATCACCCGCATAACTAAATACTTGCAGTAAATGACCAAGGCTGGTATGGTCAGCCTGACCCCTGTAATCCAATAGTCCTATACAGAGTTTGTTCAATGGAAAGCTTTTATTAGATTTAAAGTTAGCTGGTGCATTAATCATGACTGACCCCAGAAAATGATCCGATTACTGCTGTAGCTTTTCAATTTTAGTGTAATAAAACTCCAGGAACTCATTATAAATATCATGCAACACTGACATCTGTTGGTCAGAATACACTCCCTTCAGCAAAACACCGGCAGCTCATACTTTCATACCTTTCATAAATTTAAAGGTACAAATTCAAGATTATGATCAGAGTTTTGGGTGGAAATGTGCAAAATTAACTGACCAGAATTTGGTGTATAACCTCTAGCTCAAACATATAAGCCATTTATTATATAAAAAAAGACACAATATTATGTACTTATTATTATTATTATTATTATTATTATTATTGTTATCATTGTATTTTATGCTTGCAAAAAAGTAATTTGGGGAAACATTTAAATTACAGAATTATTCATTTATGTATTTATTATTAAAACAAATAAGCATGCAAAGAAATAAACGGATAAATAAATAATTTGGGGAAACTTCTAAAGTTTCTACAGAATATTTTATTATTTATGCTTATTATTATTATTATTATTATTATTATAGACACAAACAAGCAAGCACACAAACAAATAAAAAACAAATAAATAAATAACCTGGGGAAAATATTCTGAAATACATATTCATTTCTTAATTTATGTATGTAGGTGTATGTATGTATAATTTGTGCTAGTACTGGAAAATCGTATTAAAATTAATAATGACATTGAGTAAGTTTGAACATCCTATTCCACACATTTTAATGCACAATTTTTATTTATTCGCTGAGCTTAACATACTGGGAAAACAAAAACATAAATTATGTGCCACAATGTTATATTTTTAGGTCAGATTCAGCAAATAAACAGCAATTGTGCACTAAAATGTGCAGAAGTGTGTTCTCTGTATAGGATGTGTTAATTTTGATGTGCCCAAACTTTTGCACGTGCCTGTAGTTCAGCTTCAGTTCTAGTTTCGACTGAATCCTCAGGTTCAGCCACAGTCCGTGTTCCTGTGTTGTGCTGCCTCCTTCTGGCTGAATGTGCACAGTGAAAATCCCATTCACATAGCAGTGACGATTGGAGCTACGGCACCAGGGGTCTTTGTCTTGTGACCCCTGAGTAAACACTGAGTGTAATAAGAAGTAAATGATTGTTCAAAGAGAATCTACAACAACAGTTCTTTCATTTTTATTGTCAATACATAATTCACAGTTTTACACCATTAACCCAGCATGCAAGGCCAACATCGTACAGCATAAAGCAGCACATAAATAATCCTTTATACATTCACATTTGGCGAATATAAAAGAGCAGACGCAGAATGTCTTACGTGTTCGGAAATACTTCTTTCCTGATCCGCAGAAATGGATCGTTTGATATCAAAAGTATGTTAATTCACAGAATTCACTTTCCTAGAAATCTTAAGATGTGCACAGTACGAACATGACTGTTACTCACATTTACAATTTGGACCAAAACATGAGAAATAATCATGAAAAATAAGAAAGGCACCAAAATATTAACATGCATACTGTGCCTGTCACAACTTTTCAGCTCTTCCTCACTGATCCAGCTGCAAACACCATAGCATGTAGGGGCGGAACGATACTCATATAGTCCGATTCAATACAATTCGATTCAGATTTTCGATATTTTATGTGTTAAAATGTTTTGAGCCCACAGAGCTTTAAACAAGCCCTTGAATTTATAACCTCCTGTGACAAACGCCCAGTCATTTGAGTGTGGGTGTGGCCCCGCCCATTCTCCGCCCAGTTTACTCTGATAGGCTGAACCCAGAGCCTAGTTTTGATCACTGACAGTGGCTTCTAGGACAGATGATACATTAGAGACGCCCTAAAGAGAGTGAGGGGCGCAGAGTTACAGTGATAAAGTCCCAGTGAACACAGTAAAACACTAATAATGCTTGTATGCTACAAATAACAAAAAAAAAAGACAGAAATATAATAAAACATGGCTTTAAAAACGCTGACCAGGCCTATCTGACCCCTGTAATCTAATACAGAGTTTGTTCAATGAAAAACTGTTCTTAGATTTAAAGTTAGCTTGTGCATGAATCGTGACTGACCTTAGAAAATGATCTTATTAATGCTGTAGCTTTTAAATTTTAGGGTAATAAAACTCCACGAACTCGTTGCGAAAATCATGCCACGCTGACATCTGTTGGTCAGAATACGCTTCCTTCAGCAAAACACCAGCAGGTCATACTTTTCATACGTGTAATAATTTTAAAGGTGCAAATTCCAGGAGTTTTGGATGGAAATATGCAAAATGAACTGACCAGAATTTGGTGTATAGCCTCTAACTGACATTATTGTTCCAAGCAAACAAATAAATAAATGAAATGAATGAAAAAAAAAGATAGAAATATAATAAAACATGGCTTTAAAAAGTGCTGACCAGGCCTATATGAGTACTCGTAAGTGACATCCTTCAGTTCAACACCCCCAACCTGCTACACCACTGTAGCAGAAGAAAACTATTGGATTACTTCACTGTGTTCATAGCTCTCTAAAGACGTTATCTGGCTTTTATGTGGCGATGTCTGAAAGAAGGTAACGTTCTTCTTCATTTTACTGAGGAATGGGAATGCTGCCAGGCTGAACAAATGTACAGATGGACAAACAAGTAAATAAATGAATGCACGAACAAAACAGACAGAAGACAGGTGGACGTCTCAGTCAGGCTTGCCATGTAAGCTTTCGCTTGGTGGTTAGCTTTCTCAAAGTTTCCCATAGAACTCAAAGAGACCGAGAAGGTGTAGGAAGAGTTTTGTTAAACCTGTGAGGGCGGGACAAACCACCTCAGCCTTGCGATTGGTGAGGATACTGCTTATGTAAGCATTACTTAAGGGCCCAATCCCATTTCACCCCTCGTCCCTACCACTTAACCCTACCCCTCTGTTGTGCGTGTTCGTGTCTAGGGGTTGGGTGTCCCAATTCTTGTTGAGATAGAGGGGGAGGGTGAAGTGTTGGGGCTACATGACCCTCCAAACAGAGGTTTTTCAGAGACTCCAAACAGAGTGATATGGGAAAAAAAGATGGCTGAGCAAGAGACGGAAGAAACCCACAAATGTGAGAATTTTCTCTGTTAAAAAATGACAATAACCACTGTATTATCTTAGTTTAATGTCGTTTCAGTGTATTATGATCCTTTTTTCATAACAAGTATAAAAATTGCTAATCGTATGCTGATGTCTCAGTAGCTAGCTAGATAACTTTCCCGTTCCACCTTAAATAGTCCAGCAGTTCTGACGCCTGAAGCTCCAGAATGTAACTGCTGCTCCATTTAAGGCGGAACGGGAACATTTGAACAAGAATCTGGAAAATATCTGACTTCAGCTTCATATCACTGAAGAATTAGGGGTGGGTGATAATAAATAATTGCCCCCCTCTTTGAAGGCATATGATGCCCTAAATGTAACTAAAGCCCAGCAGTGAGGAGCTGAACTTTACCCTCCTCTGCTGTCACTGCAGACTGGCAGGGTCGCCTACAGAGCAGCTCTGGTAGCTGTTAATGAAGTGATGCTCTTTTTATTTGAGGGTCCCATTTCAGAGGGAAGATTTCAACCACGACCCCTTATAACTCAGTTCCAAGGGGTTAGGGTGACACTCGAAAACAAGGGGTAGGGGTCAAAATAAGAAATGGGATTGGGGCTAAGACTAGGATTGCCCACTTTACACTGAAAGAAGAGAACACTGGCCAAATAGATCGGCCATTTATTGGACAGTGGAAAGCTACTCACAGGACATACTTTGTAAAAGAAAGCATGGATTTAGGTTCCCTGGGGCTTTAAGTAATAAACAGTTTCAAATATTCATTTTTGATTTTTTGATACTGTGCTGAAATGTATAGTTTGGTCATGTGGAAATATTATATTATCCAACGCTCTTTTCTGACAAGCAGGAGCTCGGCGTGCTGAAGGTGCATGTGACCATCTCGGCTTTATTTTCATGCTCTTTTGTGCAGGACGTCGGCGTGTGAATGCATCCGACGGACCCAACATTGTCCACTTTAGAGCTGGATGCTGTTTCACTCTCGGAACCCAAAACTGGCTCCTGCTCCACGCTGAACGGATGGAAACCGTCCATCGCAGTGTCGAAGTCCCACGCCTGGCGGAGAGCTAAGTCCACATAAGGTTTGGTGTCCATTGCAGTCTGTTTTACAGCGGCATTCCTGCACGTCGCCATGCGTAGCGATGCATAACTGGTGTCGTTGCTGTGTGTTAATGATGGCGGCGAATGCTGGCTGCTCACCCAACCCAGCGTACGCTCATGCTTCTCTCTACTGCGGCCCACGGTGCGTTTAAGCCACTCGCAGCCTTTGGTGAACAGACTTTTCCGGCACAGGATGTACACCCATGGGTCCAGTATGGGGTTGAAGGAAGCGAATCGAATGGCCAGGAGGTCGCTGCGATAATCAGGCTTCCCGCCAGCAGCGATTTCAGCAGGTCCGTAAATCTGATTAACAAAGATGCGCACCTGGGAAGAGGACAGAAAACAGAGAATGGTTACGGAATGCTTCGGACACAAATGTAGTCTATTTATACCAACTGTTGCAAGGTTGGGCAAGCTCTACAGAACGCTGGCAAAATCCCATTTAACCTAATGAAAAACTGTGGAACACAAGTCAGAAATACCGATATTAACAGTGCATTCTCCATTTCAAATGCTGTTTATTTGTATATTGCTGTTGGAACAAAACCTCGTATCTCCAAAATGGTAACTTTACAGGAGAAGGGAAAAACCTACTTTACTTTTAATGTAAGTCAATGGAACCAGACATCTTTTTAAGTCATTTTGGGTCATTTCTTTTGGTCCATTCATCATGAAATGTACACACAATGTAAAGGACAACAGGTATTTTCAAATTACGTCAAAAACTGGAAAACGACCAAAATGGAGATGCGTGGTTTTGTTCTGACAGCAGCGCTATGTGAATGGTTACACTATTGAGATAGACTGGGTGTAGTGCTGTGTAGTCAGGCTAACATGTTGCTTCCAACTTGCCTAGTTATGATTAGCGACAACAACACAGTCCGTAACTGGACATCTGAGATGTGGAGTGAGGTTTTATGGACTGACGAGTCCAAATTTGGATTACTTGGAGAGAGAAAAGCAGAAAATGCAACTTCCAAGACTGAACTTTGGAATTTAAATATATGAGGGGTGGTCACTCACAGTACTGTACATAGTAAACACAGTAACATAAGTACACACCAATTTGTTTTCTTCCACTCCTTTCTCATCCCTTCTTTTCTCATCACTTCATCAACCTACAGAAACCCTTTTTCGCTACGCATTTAACTGTGAAGCCAGAGCCATCAACCTTGATGAAAAGATTTAAATATTGAACAAAAAAGCAAAACTGCACTTCATACTGAGAGCACATGTCCATGTAACTCTCCTTATCCTTCCTTTCATTCCTCCATTGCTCCTTGAAAATGTTGATAATCCTTGGATTTTCAAGCTCGAACCAACAAACCTGGTATGAAGATGTAACATGAAGTGTATGATTCAGTTTCAAACTGATATCTAACTCTGGCATTCTTTCTTTTGTCCCTCCATCCCTTTACAGAAACCACTGATTTCAAGAGACCTCAAGACTTTAACATATAACTACCAACTTTTAGACAAAGCCTGTGAGAACAAAGCTGCATTTCATACTGATGCCACTTCTCTAATACAGCTATAGTTCTTTCTTCTCTCTGCAGTCGTACACAAAAAGACATGCCTGTAATTCAAAGTGATAGTACAATGATAGAACACAGCTCTTTCAAATTGCATGCAGACCTGCTCATTTCCAAGATTCAAGCAATTCTCATAAACAACAGGAGCCACTGGCTTCTGTTATAAATGTGTTGTTTTCTGTTCAGGGAAAACTGTCTGTATTACTGTCCATGATAAGTGACCACACACTACAGATAGGCAGACAGCAATTAGGTTGAAAATGCCGTGCTCATGTAACGGCATTCGACAAGCTGACGTAAAGCTGCACTATGTAAGTTTTGGGGATTTGGAGACCTTTCGTAAAGCCTTGGGTTCACTACACGACTATTAAAGTTTTAAAAGATCCCCCAAAAAATGGTCATCTCACACTATACAACTGTTTTTGCAGGCTTTTTCGGCCGATATTGGGGATCACACACTAAATGATTAGGGATTACACACTACTCAACTTTTAAGTTGCTGCTGAACCGAACGGGTCTTACTGAACTCGCATGAACTCATGCAAACTATCACGTTCTCCTGTTACTTGGAAACCCAAATAAACAAACGTGGAGCTGCTGCTGCTGTTTTTGCTGCCCTCTGCGCTGAAACAGTAAAGAAGCAGCAGGTAAACATGTTTAAATGAGGATCATGGATTTAAAAATGTGATCAGTTTGGTATTTTAAAGAGTTTTAAAGAGTTTAAAGAGTTTTAAATGTACATAAACTCGACTGTGGCTTAAACTCAGCTCATTAAAAAGCTTTGCCCCACACGTAAATGACTTTTTGTCAAGTAAACACTTGTTTACTTTCTTCTTTCTCACTCTCAGTTTTCATTGGCTGTTGCAGGAATCCGTTCAGATTGAGTCGTTGATCAGTTCACACTAGATTACACTTGGAATCAGGTCTGAAAAATCAAACGTTCGATAAACTCCGACTGGTCTGAAATCAATCGGGAGGCTGTAAATCTGAGTCTGCGCGCCTCAGACACGACTCGACTCTGTCTCCAACTGTCGACTCCGACTGACACAAAAATCTGCAGACTAGAGCCGACCAGCTCAGACTCAGCCAGACTGAGAATCGGGGCTTAAATCAGGGTAAAAGTCTATTATAGGCTATACACTATTAACAAACATGGTTCTATGTAATACCCAAAAAAGATTACATGACAACAATGATTACATAATTACATAAAACCTTTTTTCAAAAGGTTCTTTAGAGCACCAAGTACCACAGGTACTTAATCATGAAGAACCATTTAAAAATTCATGGGCCTATAAATAGCCCCTGCCTGTACTAAAGAACTTGCAAAGTCACAATTAGTGACCACAGGGCCACTGCTGACCAGATATCCTTTGGGTTATGATCATTGCTGGGGTTTTTTTTGCACATATCAATATCACTGCTAGGTTGAGAATCATATCCAGCCAAGAACTGCTCTGTGGTCAGAACCTGACCACTGAATCAACAGATGGCCTAGAGTCTTCAACTGTGCACCAGCAAAGTGGAACTACAAGAGAGGCATTTCTAATAGAGTGGCCAGTTACTGTTCAGCAAAGTGTAAGAAAGTCTGAGTGCGCATGCCAAGCAGTGCACAGAGGCGTAGCCAAGAGGTGGCCAGTGCCACTTTAGAGTAAAGCGTTGTTACTCACTGGCCACCCCAGTTACGGAACGTGAGACAGCCAGCTATTAATAATAAAGCATCATTTACCTTTATGGTGAAAATCAGTTATAAGAGTATGTTGATGCTGCATTTAATAATGTGACAGGTTAATCTGCTGAGTGAACAGGCGAGTGTGTTGTGTCCGTTCAGCAGTGCTGCTCTGTCAGCTACATTATAAAGAAATCTATGCCAAGGCGAGTTAAGTGTCAAAAACTAGCCAGCTGTAATAGTTTATCATGCTGATTACTCTTTTGCAGTTGAATGTGTGCTGAGCTTTCTAGTCATTAGACTCATGTATAACCTGTAGCGAGGGCAGCCTAAATGAATTCTTCTATGGTCTGTCTATATGAAATGATGGGCCTGGGTTCGATTCCCCGCCCGGGCGACCAGTGTCCTCTCTGTGTGGAGTTTGCATGTTCTCCCCGTGTCTGTGTGGGTTTCCTCTGCGTGCTCTAGCTTCTTCCCACAGTCCAAAGACATGCAGCCAGGAGACCTGGAGATGCCAAACTGCCCCTAGGTGTGAGTGTACTGGTGGCCTGTCCAGGGTGTTTCCTGCCTTCCGCCCAGTGAGCACTGAGATAGGCTCCAGCACCCTCCGCGACCCAGGAGGATAAGCGTCTTAGACAATGTGTGTGTGATTCTAACACATCCTTTCCTCATGAATGACTAAAACACATCAACACAGTTTTGTCCTTCAGTTTACTTTTGGTAATAATTGTATTGATGTATTATTTTATGGTAACATTTTATTTAGAGTGGTTTTTGGTGGACGATTAATAAACTCTTAACTGAGGATCAGTAACACATCAACAACATATCAGTGAAGGAGCAGCAGTGAAGCATCTGAATGCACTGAAGTAAATATCCTGTAGATGTTCTGTTGATACATTACTTACATTAAGCAAAGCCTAACCTTACCAACCTTAACCCTGGCCCTAATCCTAATCCTAACCTCAGCCTGACCCCAATCCTAACCCTAACCTTAACCAAAACCTAATTGAGTTAAGCTCCTAGTACAGAATGGGGTCAGCAGCATGTCTATACCAACTTGCTGAGGATGCTGAAATGGTGTGTATTACAGGTTAAACATCTACAGATCTGAACTTGGACACCAAATAAAGTGAAAAACAACTGAACTCAGCAGATTCTAAACAAATCTTATTTACACAGTTAATTAAAACTCTCTTAATGATCTACTGAATGTATTCAATGCTGCTACATCACTGATGTGCTGTTTATATGTTACTGAAAGTCTGTTGAGTGTTTATTTCATCTCAGACGGACCACTCAGAACAAAGCATCGCCTGTTTTATTCATGTGGAAATAATGGACAGATTAAATTAAGCACAGAGAAAAGCCAATGCATCACTTTTATGTCATTTTAATAGAGTAACACTGTTATTTAGGGTTTTTTCTCCTGTAACCCCCAAATCTAAAAGTTCTAGATACGCCCCTGGCAGTGCACAGGAGTATGTACTGCTGTCCTACACGCTCCTCTGGAGTGAAAGGGAGTAACAGACGGAGCACCCGAGAGTAACAGACACCGCTGTCTGCGCTTTACTCACCACCAGCGGGATGGAGCAGATGAGGAACACGACGGTCATGATGATCAACATCCAAAACATCTGGATCTCCGCCGCCGACGTCACGGCGGGCAGCCCGGCGAGCGCGCGCCTCCCGGTGCCTCCGGCGCGCGTCTCGCGGCTCATACGCACGAGCGAGCGGCACGCCGCGCAGTTGCAGGCGACGGTCACGGCGACGAGCGCGAGCATGACGCCGCCATACAGGTAGGAATAGGCTGCGCCCGGAGCGTCCGTCGCGCGCCAGTCCAGAAAGCACCAGGTTCCAGGCACGTGGCGCGCGTGCCTGCCGAAGCCGAGGCTGGGGAGCGCGCAGAGCGCGGCGTTGGCCGCGTAGACGGCGAGGAGAGCGGCGCGCGCCGTGCGTCTGTCCACGCGCTTGGAGTAGAAGTAGGCATGGTCGATGGCCACGTAGCGCTCCACGGCCATGGCGCACAGGATGGACATGCCGGCCGAGCCGAAGAACAGCATGGAGAAGGAGAAGAAGTGGCAGAGGCGTGCGCCGCCGGGCCACCGGCCGGCCACGTAGGTGGCGATCACCACGGGGCTCGTGAAGCACGTGCCCAGCAGGTCGGTCACGGCCATGCCGCACACGAGCGTGTAGAATGCAGTCTCTTTCTGCTCGCGCCTGCTCGCGCACAGCACGGCCGCGGCCACCACGTTGCCCAGCACGCCCACGGCGAACATGCTGGCCGAGGTGACCAAAGAGCGCACGTCCAGCCGCAGGGGGGCGCGCGGGGAGCCGCCGTCAGCCAGCAGCACCGAGTCGTTCATGGTTCAGGTGGAGCGGAGCGTGCGTAAAGGCTTCTTCTGCGCGCGGGCTGTCCGGCTCATCTCCAGCGAGCTCTAGCTTTGTGAGGTGTAAAGGAAGCCACGCGGAGCACATATAAACTCACTGGCCCCGCCCCTCCTCCACTGTGACGCCCTCAGCGTTCCACTCCTTCGCTGTGACGTCTGCCTGTGCCAGCCCTTCACTGTGACGTCAAGGCAGCTCCATGACCATCTGTCTTGTTCCACCAATGCCCCAGCTCCACATTATGATTGTATTACTTGTGCCGCACCATCACCTGTCTGACGTCATTAACCCCCACCACCACTGCCCCCTCACCCCCTGATGACAGAACGTGTCCCCCAGTACCCCTCAGTATAATCTGCTTCTCCACTTTGGTGTCTGTGGGTTCATAGTGATGTCATCGAAACAAAACCACTAACTTGAGGAGATGATTTGAATATTCAGCTTTTATTCAAATTCAATATTCAAATAAGTCAGTTTAAAGTAATTCATTAGTAAACACAAACCTTTGATGATATATTTAGTCATAACAAGATCCCTACAAACAAGTGTCGATTCAGCATTTACAGTGTTGCATTAACCTTTGCAATGTTCCGTAATATCTTGCAGAAAAATCACATGCCCTTCACATGTGATCATGTATGCAGTGCCTAAACAGCACATGTTCATAAGTAAACACGTGGCATAACGTGACTACGTGATCACAGGTGAAATAATGGGAGTAATGTGCAATCACATGTGACATAACCTGATTTGTGATCAGATGTGACCCAACGTCAATAAAATGTGATGATGTGACATAACATAAATAAGATGGGATCAACTGACTGTGATCACCTGTGACACCTGTGAAGTGAATAATGTGATTCTATGTGACATCAACTTGAATTATATGTAAGGACATGATACAGCATGAATCGAATGTGGTCACGTTTGACATAACATGGATAGTGTATGAAAGCAGATGACAAAATATGATCATGTGATGATGTGATCTTTTGTGACTTTTCACATGATTGATGTGGGATCATATAAGACTCAACATGGATAAAATTTAAACATAACATGAATAAGATGGGATAACCTGACTGTGATCACCTTCGACACAACGTGAATAGTATGTAATGACTTGACATAGCGTGAATCATTCGTGATCACTTGTGACATAACATGGACAGTATATGATCATGTGACATAATGTGATTCATGATCACATGTGACACAACATGAACAAAATATGATCTTTTGATAAAATGTGAAAAACGTGATCATTTGTGACTTGCCACACGATTAATCTATGATCACATGTGACATAACTTGAATAAGATGGGGTCACCTGACTGTGAAAAATCTGTGATCACCTGTGACATCGATATGAATAATATTTAATGATATGACATAGCATGAATCATATGTGACCGCACGTGACATAATATGAACAAATATGCTCATGTGACAAAATGTGAAAAATGTTATTACTTGTGACTTGCCGTGTGTTAACATGTTCACATGTGATATGATATGAATAGGTGAACACAAGACAGTGTGAACAATTGTGATCAAGTGACATAACATGATTTGTCATCACATGTGACCCAACATGGATAAATGTGATTATGTGACATAACATGAATAACATAGGATCACCTGACATAGAGTGAAAGATCTGTGATCACCAGTGCCACAACATGAATAAGGTGATCATGTGATATATGTGTAATGTCATGATATACCATGAATCATATGCGATCATGTGCCATAACATGAACGATATGTGATCATGTTACATAACATGATTTGTGATCATGTGACAACATGAGAAAAAATAATCATGTGACAAAATGTGAAAAAATGTCATCGCCCATGACCCAACATGGATAATATATGATCGCATGTGATATAATGTTAATAAAATGTGATCGAGTGACATAACAAAATATGTGATCACAAGTAACGTTACTTTTTTAGCAAGGAATTATAAACGTGGAACATGCAAATGAATGAATCGTGATGAGAGAAAATCACAAATGAAAAATTAAAATGTGCATCACATGTGAAAACCATTTAAAGTCATGTGATATTTCTGTAATAGAAATCCATTTGGACACATATTCACACTATAAAAGTGAAATGAACAGAAGATTTTACTGTAATGTTCTATGTTTTCTTTGTCACAGTGTTTAATGTTAATTTTCAGTCAGGAATGATTTATTTACATAAGACTAAACCATTAAACCCTTACATGGCCACGGATTCTCCGGCAGGCCCAACGTTTTATTACACACTTCTATAACCTAAGAATAGCTCAGCCATTTTGCACTGAAGTCCCTGTAGTTACTGAATAATAAGCCTTAGTATTAATAAGCCTGGGATATTAAGGGGTTAACGTGTATGTATACACTCAGTACAGTAGATACAAAGAGTTAGTGAGTATTTGAAAGCAGTGAGCTTACACGTTTTTGTTTATTAATTTTAACACAATGTATGTAGAGAGTGGATAGTATTTAGAAGCTGACAGCTCACTTACTCCTCAGTATTTATTAATCATTTATAAGTCTCAAGCTTTAGTATTCAGTTACTACTATTAATTATTGAGCAACTATTATGAAATTGATATTGAGTTATAAGACTGAGGGGTGGAAGTCTGTCTGCTACTCAAATTAAACCGTTTAAAGTGAAAACATTTCACTCATTTTGTGTTTCTTTAATGTTATACTGTTAATTACATTAGAACAAAATAGCCTTGAAGCTAAACATTTTCATAGAAAGCCTCATGTATTCAGGGCCATGTTCAACATTTTTCTTGGATTTTATTTTTCTGTTATAAAGCTGTTGTAAGCTAAAGTCTATTGTATCTCATTTTCCAGCCTCTCTTTATCCCTTAGAATCAAACAGGCTGTTTTTGTTACTGTGCTTTTGAAGACTGTTATATGTAAATGAGCTCTGTTTGATTGGCTGTCCTGTACTGTGCCTCATTCAAAAAGCAGTCCAGGCTGAAACACTCCTTATAACTTCAGTGTGTGTAGAGCTAAACTGCTGTAGGCTGAATAGTTGGATACGTGTAAACAGCTTTGCTTTTGTGACATCACAAAAACAATGACCTCAATACAGCAGCATAGTTTCCATATATGGACTGGATGGAATGGGTGAGTGATCTGTATGCTTTAAAACTTGAACAATGTTTACATACCATATCACTTTTCTTTAAAAGCTGAGGAAGTTTTCTGCCTTTATGGCTGATATATGTAAATGAGCTCTGTTATGATTGGTTGCCCTGTACTGTGCCTCATTCAAAAAGCAGTTCGGGCCAAAACACTCCTTATAACTTCAGTGTGAATGAGTGGAGCCAAGCTGCTGTAGGCTGAACAGTGTACAGTGTCCAGATGACTGCTGTAGGCTGAGCAGTATCCAGTGTCCAGATGTCCAGATTAGTGAATTGTATGTTTTAAGAAATGTTTACATTCTATATCAAACACATTTATTTAAAAAATGAGGACATTTTCCATGATAAAGGCCCTTTAAAGTGAGAGTAAACAACTCTAAAGCGATCATTTTAAAGATTTAAGCTGAAGATGGTTAATAGAATCAACAAGCCTTGTGATTGTTTTGTTTACAGGCCTTTAAAACTAGTGACCGCACCTGCTTAAAGAGGAAGATGGGGATGACCTCAGAGGTCAATGCTGTGGCATCTGAACAGGCTAATGATAGCCAGCCATTCCCAAAACAGACATAAGGACTTAGCAACTCTTCCAGTTATGCGTGTACAGTGCACAGTGGTTAAACATGCCATGTCAGAGTCACTGCTGTGCTGAGAATGATTGGACCACAACCCAAATAGTATCTACTCAGTGGTGGTCCCGAAGTGGTCCACTTTCAATTGGTGGATGGGGAGGAGGGGGGCTCCAACAGATGCACCAACAGTTAGCTACATGATTAGTGTTTCTGATAAAATGGCCAGCGAGTCTAGGTAAGAGCGCATAATGAACTGGCAAATCAGTGTACAGCATTTATAGGAATGGTTCGTTGAAAAATCAAATTTACACAATTTCACTGACCCCAGATGCAGTTTATCGGCCAAGCGTCCAATTTTACTTCGTTAAATTAGTGCAAGGCTAACGTTGCTAACAAACACTAGAAGTCAATAGTCGCCTGAATGTTTGCTGTAAACACATCAAAACTTCTCTCAACCTGCTCAAACCACATCCAGCTCTGCATTAAGATTGTACAGACTTGTTGATGTGGTTCAGTTTGACTTAAGCTAAACTAAAGAAGCAAAATTTGGACACCAAACATGTCTTCACTGATCAGCTGCATCTGGGGTTGGGAATTGTGCAAAATATATTTTTTCAAGGCTGGGGTTTCTCCACAGGGAGGAAAACATGCAGGGAAAAAAGTGTCCATGTATGAATTTGAACTAAATAACATCTACACTCGCTTAAGCACATCTAAGCCAATGATTATTAGCGATTCCTCTGTTACCACAAACCACAACAGCCACTACTAGGGGCGTCTCTAGGATTTGAAAACATCTGGGGCTTCAGACAAAACATCCTGGGCTGCTGGGGAGATTCAAAGTTTGTTCTTATATTTTCACACCGTTGACGACACTTAACAACCTAGATAAAGCCTTGTTTGTTAAGAAATTATAGCGCCTAGTAACGTGGGCATCTGAGGCATAACTATATTCTCACACTCTACAGGCTACAATGCACATCAGCTTCATAGGCGGAGGATTTTTTGTCTGCCAAGCACTTTAAACCTCACAGCATTTATAGACTGAATGACATCCGTGTCTAGGAGCAGGATGACTCACTGAGTGTTTTTGCCCTAACAATACCCCTGACTACTACAACTGATAATAATAATAATAATCATAATAATAATAATAATAATAATAATAATGACTATTATTATTATTATTAGTAGTAGTAGTAGTGGTAGTATCCATATATATAAATAAAGTCTTTAATAAATATTTAAG